CGCTTCAGGTTTTGGATAATAAATAGTCGGTCCCATGTCACAGCGCTGGGCTTCCATCTCGCTGATATATATATATATATAAGTCACCTATTATTTAAATTATTTAGGGAACTATTGTAGCAACTATTCTATTGCATATTTACTTTAAAAAAAAAAAAAAAAAAGATGGCTTAGTATAGTTCCTTTCCATAACAGACAAAACAGGAAACAGAAAAGAAACGCCTTTTAAAAACTTCTGAGCCCGAAATATTTAAAATCCAAATAAGAAGCGCGTTTTTCTGAAGCTGCGTTCCTGGCAAATTTTGTAACGAATTATCGCCTTGTGCCCCTATTTTCATTGGTAAAGGTGGGAAGGGGGTGCACTTTTCGTTGGCAACAACGTTGTGAATTCCCTAGTGCCACGTTTTTGTAGTAAGCCTTTGTAGACTGCAATCAACCAGCAATTTTACAAAACGCTGTCCCAATTTCTGAGTTATTTTCTCGTGCTCGAGTGGTAACACCCCTCACCCTTCCTACGCGAGAGGAGCAGAGATTGAAGCCAGCAATCCTGTAATACTTTAATTAGCTATTCTTGACGCAAATTCCTTCTAGCACACGTTTCTCCTGTTAATTAGAGACACTCACCCTACCGGCAAGGTAAATAGTCGACTTCAAATATTTTTCAAGCAAAACCGTGTACCAAAGGACAACAATTTTAGATACAGTACAACTTGACCTTTTGGAGAAGCGGCAGTGAATTAAAAAGTTCCCTTTGCACGCCATCTGTATATGTAAAAGCTAGGCTGTCGAGGCGTCTTAGTTCTGTTTATATTCCTCCAAAGAAGAGATGTAGCTTTTCTTCCTCTCTTTGTTTAGCTTAGCTATGGGTAACAGTCTCCCCACCTCTTGGCCACGCTTCTCCTTTGCAAAACCGTCCTGCAACAGAGGTCCCAATTTCAGAGCGGTTTTACCCTCTCTAATCCGGACGAAATACGTGGGAAGGCGTAACGAATGCATTTTGTTTCTCCAAACGAAATGCCTGACTTTGTTTATGTTGTTCTCAATGAGGTTAGAGAGGGGAAGGCTCGGTTTCCCCCCTTCCTCAACGCGGAAGTCCCAATTACTGTATTAAAAGAGCAATTCAACATTAGACCAAATAATCAACATTGATAATTGTGCTGAACACAGCAACTTAACAGCAGGCTCCCTGCAATTACCCACACATTCCGGTGCTTTAAGCGCACATTATCTCTGTTTCACTTAACAGCAAATAAAGCAGAGAACAGTCTGTGCCTTGGGTGTCTACTCGCTCCCAGACGAGCTGTGCACCTCTTAGCCTTCCCCATTACCCTCCCCGCTTGTTGTGCAGGCGGAACTCGGAGGCGTTTTGGGGTCCTCCTGCGTTGCGAACCCACTTGAAGAAAGAGGCTGTTTGGTTTGGAGAGGTGGGGGGGAGAGTTCGAGCGATTCAAAAGCAGGCATCGGGGCTGCACGTGTGCATGCTGTGCAAGCATATATATGCCCAGACACACACACACCCGCGCACACACACTCCTACTTCCAGTTGCCTTCTCGCCCTTCTTAATTTCTCTTTGTTTCCCAGAGGCAGCCCCGACCTCTGGCACGGCGGACCCTCGCACGGCGCCGCAGCCTCGGCTGCAGAGAGGAGCGGGAAAGAGCCCCATACAAACCTGTGCCAGCTCTGCTCCCCAAGGTTTGAAATTTATTGAAATGCGAGAGGGGGGCTGCCCTGAGTCCGAGGAGGTGGCGTCCTGCGATTAAGCGTTGGGTAGCTTTGTCATGTCTGCTCTGACACAAGCTGAAGTTGACTGCCAAAGTGCTATAAAACCGCAGGTCAGTCTAGAACTGTTTTCGGTTCTCCTAGACGCGCCGTGTTCAATTATAGCCTTAAAAACCCTAATACAAGTGCAAGAATTTGTTTGCCATCACACAGAGGCGGGGCGAGGCTCGGCAATGGTGGCGCCTTTGTTATCTCAAAGTCACTGAAATCCTTATACATTCCTTTTTGTTCGAGGGGGGGGGTGTCGGGGTGTATGGGGGGGGGGGGGGGGGAGGTTTTTCATCGACGGAATTGAACGGTGGGGGTATACAGGGGAAATAACCAATGTTAGGAGACCAAAAGAGGGCTTCCGACCCCCCAACCCACCCTTCCCTCCCACCTCCCCCGCAAAAACTAGGGGGAAAGTAAATTCCAACAAAATTACAGCGTTAAGGAAAAACCTAACCAGAGCTCTGGTACAACCCTCCCCACCTCAACTAAAAAGAAAAAGAAAGAAAAAAGAAAGAAATTAAAAAAAAAAAAGGAGAGAGAGGGAAAACCCTTTTACAATCCCTGAACGACATAGCAGTGTTCTGCTAGCGGTTTTGACGATATGTGATCTCTTTCCATTCACCTTCTAGCAAATGTGTCAAGCTGGAAGATTAATTCATTAATTTCAAGTTCAGATCATAGACCTGCAGTAAGCATAAGAAGTTCTTGCAGAAAACCAAAATAAAGAGTTCATTACAGGGATACGTCCAGAGCATTTGATTTGTGAACGGTAACCCTTGTAAAATAAGAAAAAGGCATATAAACATTAATGCTAATAAATTAGTTTACTCCACTACAGAGTAATTACTTGATAATATTGAATTTACAGCTTGAATTCAAACGCAATAGTTAACTGTAATGTAGGGGAAATACATAATGGGAATATTTTCTCTCTACACAACATGATTAGATTTGTTATTGAGTCGGTTACGATAAACTAAGCAATAAATAAACAAATCGATGCTGACATTTAAATACCGAAGATCTCCAGAATTTACTGGAGAACTTTCTCCGGATACATAAATACTCCCACAACACTGTAGAGGAAGAGGGGGGAAAATACAAATATTATTTCCCTAATATTTTCGTTTCCCTTCCACTAGACTCCCAAGTCCATGAGGGCATGGATCTTGAACTACGTCTAATTTCCTAAGAGCACTGACTTCACAATAGCCTTTTGCCGTTCTGTTTTTCTATTTTGATGAAATCCACCCGGAACCCAAATATTTCTTTTCTGAAATCGAGCATCAGAATAGCAAAAAAATATTTTTTCCGAGAGCTTAGGGATGTCCGTGCCTCAAAAGGTGCTGTATTCTTTGGCGAATTCCTCTGTTTTCTTTGGCTCTGCTCGTTCGGTGGGGTGTGCATTTTTATTGGCAGAGAAGTACTTTTTGGTCTCTGCCCTGTACAATCCGCTTTCTATATCGTCCCTTTCATGCAACAATAGTAAAAGTTTAACCATGTTTTTGAAATAGGTCTCCCTGGGTCTCAGCCTTCAGCGACGGTACGAAGCTGAATGGAAAGTATGTCGGTACGGCGAGTTTGTTTCTGGGGGTTAACAGTATGTCAAATAATTTTAACTAGTCTTCTGACAATTAAACTCAGAGTATTTGTCAAGCCAGGATAGCCCAATATCCACTGGTTTTCCAAGTATTTAGCGGCAAAGTTGAGACGGAGAGATCAGCAAATAGTCTTTAGGTCCGTGGTCTGCACTTTAAAGGGCTTTCTGGTTTTCTGGCTTTGCGAATGAGGCAGGGGACGATTTGAAGGGGGTGAGGAGGGAGAACCTGGGTCCTGGGAACCCGGTATTGTTAATTACCTCCAGTACAGCTTGGCTGAAGCCGCGCGGGGTATTTGAGGTTAATATGTAAGTAAGGGAAGGAAGACACTAAGCGCTTCGGAAGTGAACATGAATGCAAGCATGTAATCTATTCACCATGAAAATTAGTAAAGACTTGACCCTGGCACATTCTTCCTATTAAGGTTTCCAGAAAAACCATGAAGGGTGAGGACTTTTTCTTTTTTTTTTTTTTTTTTTTTTTTTTTTTTGATGGGGGGGGGGGGAAAGCCCAAACCTAACCCCAGAAAAAAAAAAAAAAAAAAAAAAAAAAAAAAAAAAGAAAAAAGACGTTTTCTTCAGGAGCGTTTCCTCCTCGGAAGTAGCTTTCCAGAAGAAACCGTGCGTGCATCTCTACGGTGCCCTCCTTCTCAGAGCCTTCCAGCGAGCCGCCGAACGCCCCAGCAAGCCCACAAACAAACAGAAAGGTCTCACCTAACCCCGGGGGGAACTGATAAGCCTCTCTGCTCCAGAGCCAGAGGGTGCCAGGGGCCGGGTGGCTATGTCTGGGGCAGTGGCAGGGCGGCTGTGTGTCCCCCAGGGCTCCCCCCCGGCCAACCTGCGCTCGGCTCGCCCCTGGGAGCTGGCGACGAGCTGTTGCTTTCCCCCGCGACGGCCACAAAGGGAGCGGGGCCCGGGCCCCGCCGCTCGTCAATGTCAACGTCGGGCCACGTGACCGCACCTCCCTGCCGCCGCCGGGAGAGCTCTCCACGTCAGCTTACGTCTCCCCATCTCTTACTTCACGGATCCGCTTCAAAGGGGCAGCTGCGTTAGAGAATCATGTTAAGCTCAGCTAATGCGGAGAAGCCGAGGTAGCCCTAATGATGGATTTTGATGAGCGTGTTCCTTGTTCCTCTAACATGTATTTGCCAAGTTGTACTTACTACGTCTCGGGTCCTGATTTTTCCAGCCTCCCTTCTTTTTTGCCCCAAACCCCGTCTTCTCGCCCTATGACATACTCCTACTCCTCCAACCTACCCCAGGTCCAACCTGTGAGAGAAGTTACCTTCAGGGAATATGCCATTGATCCCTCCAGTAAATGGCACCCCAGGAACAATCTGCCCCACTGCTACTCCGCAGAGGAGATCATGCACAGAGACTGCCTGCCTGCCACCAACACTGCTAGCATGGGCGAGATGTTCGGCAAAAACACAGCTAACGTCTACCACCCCAGCACCAACGTCTCCTCCAATTTCTATAGCACTGTGGGCAGGAACGGGGTCCTACCCCAGGCTTTCGACCAGTTTTTCGAGACGGCTTATGGCACAGCGGAAAACCTGGCCTCGGCGGATTACTCGGTAGACAAGAGTGGCGAGAAGGCGCCCGCGGCCGCCGGGGCGGCGGCGGCGGCAACTTCAAGTTCGGAGGGCGGCTGCGGCAGGGCGGCGGCGGCGGCGGCGGAGAAGGAGAGGCGGAGGCGGCCGGAGAGCAGCAGCAGCCCCGAGTCATCTTCCGGCAACAATGAGGAGAAATCCGGCAGTTCCAGTACGTATAAAGGCAGCGCCGGAGCGCTTTTAGGAAAGGCAGCTTGAAATCTAGCGCACCGCCGCTGTTAAATTTTTATATGCTGTTTTATAAGCATATAAGGTTTATGAAGGGCCTTTAGATTTCCCCCAACAAAACTTTGTTATAAAAGGCGAGATCACGTGTTTAGTGCTGAAATTGGCCGTGAAATACCCACCGGGCAATGGATGCCTAAAAATGTTTTTTCTTTCTCCTTCTCCTTTTTTTTCCCCATTTTTTCCCTTTTTTTAATATTAATAATAAAAAGAGTTTCGTGGTCAACTCTCGAAATATAATAACGTTCGTTTGGTGCCTGTAAATTCGGCAAAAAAAAAAAAAGGAGATCCTGACTCCTTTGATATCAATGTAATCCAGTGATTTTATAAAAGCCATGTGTTGCACCAGAAGTCTAGTTAGGAACTGAATTCAAAGCCTTCACCGTTTTAACGATTGCACTAGAATAGCGTTTAACAGATAAAGTAGCCGCCTGAACTGTAGCAATATATTTAAAAAAGCAAATTAACCTAAAGCTGGCCTTTTTGTCTAAAGGAAGCCATTTTAGTAAGGCACTGTGGCAATTACGTGTTGCCTCCTGTCCAACAGTTTGTTACTTACAATTGTTATTCAATCTGTCAAAGTCTGATTTTTTTATGTGGGCTTTTTAAAAGGCAAAGCTAGTATACAGATGGGAGAAAAAATACCTCGACAATGAACTGTACCAGAAAAGGAAGTTTTTAAAGGGATAGCAGCCACATTTAATGTAAAGAGTTCCTGAACCTTGAAACCTTTTATATTCTGCTTAATGAACTTTAAAACCGTAATGGCTAATCGAGAGGAGAATACCTCGTGCTTGAAAATACCCTGCTGAGGGGAGAAGGAGACGCCTCAGCCTTGGGCTCAGGAGCTTTTCCTCTGCTCGGGACACAGAGGCAGGATTAAGGCAGGGAACGAGGGCGAGATACAAGCGGATACGGGCTCGGGGAGGGCTGGGCGCGGGGTCTCCCCGCCCGATGCAGCGCTGTCCGCTGCAGGCAGCCAGGTGATGGCCGCTCCCTGGGCAGCTCCGCGTGCCTGGTGGCGCCCGGCGGAGCACTCTACAAAGGCTTTCCTCCGGCTCGTGAAACCCGCAGGAACCCCCCGCCACCACCTCTTCCTCTGGCCGCCCTCCCCGCGGAGGAAGCGAGGCTGATTCCCGCGTCTCGGCGGGGGTTTCGCCCTGCACGCTGCCCGGGGCCGCGGCGCTGCAGGAGCCGGGGGGGTCCCGGTCCCGGGCTGCACGCACTGGCCAAGGCGAAGGGCTGGCGCCAAGCCTCGGACCTGCCAACGCCAGCCCTGGAGGGGGCAAAACGCATCTTTTCCATATTAATGTGTTTTGCCTGAGTGTTCCCCCATCACTCCTCAGCCTCTGCTGCCGGCCACCGCCGGGTCTCAAATGTTTCTGCCTTTTTTCACTCCACAGGTGGACAACGTACCCGTAAAAAGAGATGCCCATACACCAAATATCAGATTAGAGAGTTAGAAAGGGAATTCTTCTTCAGTGTCTACATAAACAAAGAGAAACGCCTCCAGCTCTCCCGAATGCTCAATCTGACCGACCGTCAAGTCAAAATATGGTTTCAGAACAGAAGAATGAAAGAAAAAAAAATTAACAGGGACCGATTACAATATTACTCAGCTAATCCACTACTTTAAAACTCATAGTGTTTTTCAAGACGAGATTAAATTCAGATTTCGCCCTTGACAAGGTCAAGCCACGGGGTTATGTGGAGGAAGGAGGTGTGTATCTGATAGGACTAAAAGAATCCAAGGCTTTACACACGTGTAAGCCTAGTCTGGAACTGCAATGATGATTTTTCATATATATATTTACATATCAACTGGAATCAATCTGATTTTGACACACATGGGATCCATTTCTAAATGCGCACGTCACCTCTGAGTGCAAAATCCATACCTCTTACCTTTCCAGGCGCTGCGGCTCACCCTGCCACCACTTTCGGCAGGCACAGGCGGGGACGGTACCCCTCTGTCCCTGGACTCTCCCACCCTCGGCTCTTTCTAGCCCCTGTGCTGCTGTGAAACAGCTGTCTGGAGATTGCTAGGTCGAGCTCACCCAACCAGGACCACTGCAGAATATAAACTCAGAGAAATAATCTTTTGTTCTTCCTTAGCAGAAAATGTCTGGTTTAGAGGCAGTGTTCCATTGCCCACGGATTTGAAATGAGAATTTAAGGACACGCGCACACACATGCACACACAGAGAATTAAAGGAAAGGAGGGATGTCATGTCTACACCTTCCCGGGGCCAACCGCGAGTAGTTGTAATATGGATGTAGTGATGGTTATAATAGTGTTTCCTTTGGGAGTGTGGGATGGGATGGGGGCGAGGGAAGAAAAAGAACGAAATGAATTGCTTAATGATTTACTTTTTAAAATCAGGTATAAATTCGCCATATATCGTAAAGTAACAATCACTAAAAATAAAAATAGCAAATTTTAATTAGCTCTCGTTTTATTTATGACAACACTCTATGCGTTGCCATCTTTTCAGAGACAAATCATATATAATACTAAAAATAAAACGGCAAAAAGTGTGAATTTCAGCGTTTTAGAAGAAACAACTCCATAAAGCAAACTAACCTTCTGGCTTCTGGCTCACAAACTTTCTTCAGGAAATACCTGTGGAGAACGACAGTTTAGCAAATACCACACAACACTTAATTGAAACTTGGAGTTGTGCAATGCACTAACATTGGATCATTAAAATAACTTGATCACATGTTCGTTTAAAGGTGATTAGTGAGGAGTTTAAACAGAAGCCAAACAATGTAGATATGGTAATTTTGTCGTTGTCTACTTTAAATGTCATGAGCTCTACTTTGTCGCCCAGTCGACATATGCAAAGAATGGAGAGTTGTTCGGACTTATTTTAAATATCTATAAATATATATATTTCCCTGCAGGAACCAAAGCGTGAAAAAATGCAATTTAAAAAAAAAAAAAAAAAAGAGGAAAAAAAAGGAAAATATTTAAAATTCTATATCAGTTTACAAAGGATACAGTGTTCTATCGTTAAGGTAATTTGCTGTTGAGAATATCTGAATGTATATTTCATACAGGAACGGTGTTTTACAAGACTTGTAAATAATAAATAAAAGAACCCATGACCTATTTTGTTCAAATAATTTTTTCCCCCTTGGTTAGTTTTTTTGGTGGTTTGTTTTTTTTTTTTTTTTTTTTAATTGTTCCTTTGGGGCTAAAGGGTGTGGGATTTCTTTACATGTGCAACAAAGTGATGATAAGAATGTTTTTTGATTAATAAATTTATCAAATGGATGTAATTTCTTTGTCACAGTTCACAAAATGCAATATCTTTATATGATGTCACTGTTTTCAATATGTATCATCTATATGTATATACAGTTTTCTTTTAATATGCGAAAGTATTTGGTTGCATGTATACAGTGGAACAGCGCACAAGGAAAATAAAAAAAATTGGAAACTTTACATTTTTACTCTGGTGTTATATTACCGCATGTTCTTTTATCTGGTGTAACTCTGGGACCCGAAATTCCTCATGACCTTGTTCAGTCATTTGGGGAGAATTACTCTTCTTTAGTGAACTTCGTCATTAAATTTTCTACTCTGGAGTTAACAAGTGAACCTAGGCTTGTTCGAGCACCGTTTCAGTGGGTCACAGGAAAAGGAAAATAGTGTGTTCGTAGCTCACTACGTGTTAGGCCTTTTCCTTATCCTGCCAATGCTGGTAGGGCAAGGTCCTACGCTTGAGGTTTGATGTGCCATCGCTGCTTCCTCCCCGCCACATGTGTCCAGGACAATGTTTGTCAGTAGCATTTGGGGCACATTTTATGAGTCAGCACCAAAAAGAAGGTCCAAGACAGCCGATGGATGTCGCCAGAAGCTGAGAGCCCTGAGAAAATTTTTGCCTTTGAGGGGAAAAAAATCCACATGCAGTGTGGTGGAAATGGACTGTTTGAAATTGTCCTTGATCTCCACGGCAAGAAGGGGGCGGACTGAGGCGGGTGGCAGGGTGAGGGGGAAGGAGGGTTGGAGGGAGAAAGTTGGGGGGAGGAGGGGACACAAACCCCCAAACAATAGCTGAGGTAGAAATGTGTTTTGGGAAGAGTGTTTGAATCTTTAATGCTGACCCTAATCCTAGTCAGGAGAAAAAGCACATTCTCTTTTCCCGTTGTTTATTGGCTTTGAACTTCTGTATTGCTTGGACATCACCCATAACCTTGAGGTGAAGGACTTACTGACTTTGGGCCTTTGTTGACCACCCGTCACCCAGCCAGACAACGTTTGCCCAAGGGGAATGTTGAAAAGTAAGGGGGAAAAGACGGGACTTTGTTTGTTTGACCGGTATGCAAGGGGAAATGCCAGTTAAAAGGAGACAGACAGATGGATGAACAGACGGTGGGATAGGGACAGAGGGACGGATGGAGAGATGAATGGCAATGAAAGTTAAGTCTGCGAGCTTCCTTTCCTGGTTAAAAATTAACTGGTATTCAGAGCCAATCCCAGAGACATCTAAAGCGTGGAGTTTCTGTGGTCGGGGTTTGGATTTCCTAGCCCAATAAAATCGCATCCTCTGTGTTGCTGCGACATCGTGACCATAAAAGCTGTCCGTGACTTGTCCTCTCGCCTGTACAAAATGCATCACTATAAAGGCAGCGGAGGTTCGCCCAGAGGTTTGTACACCGGGAGGTGAGCGATCCCTGCCCTCCACCGCCGCCGCCGTCCGTCAGTCAGTCCGCCCGCCCTCCGTCCTGCCGCGGGGCCCCGGCGGGCAGGCGGGCGGACGGACGGACGGCGGCCGTGGTTTAGGGGCTGCTTTACCACAAGATGGCGATCTTCAGATCAATGTCAAAGCCGCCCAGGGCGAGGGGAGCAGCCCTGCAAAGGAGGGGAAAAAAAAAAAAAAAAAAAAGAAAAGAAAATCTTGGCCTTTGTTCATTTTGCAACCCTGGAGCCACACGGGTAATTATTGCACTTACTGGGCTCCGCGGTACAAAAAGCCGCCCGGGATGCCGGGGGTTGGGGGAGCTGCAGGGGCTTCTCGGTGGAGTTAAAGCCTCTGGGCTTTGAGTTAGGAAATCCGCGAAGGTAAGTGTTTTATACATCTACCCAGCGTGGAGAATGGCGAGGAGTGTGCGATGACTGGAATGGTACCCTGCTATCTGGGGTGGCCTTTGCCCCGACCGCTGACCACCGCGAAAGACAACTGTAGAGATGGGAAGGGGATGCAAAAAGTTGGTGGTTAGTATGTGAAATAATATAGAAGGAACTTTCTACGTTGCAGTTGACCTTTTATTTTCTCTTCGTTTTGGCCGACCGCATGGAAAATCCACGTTATCTGGAAATATTTTTTCAGAGGAACTTTTAGCTTTCTTCCAGTTATTAAAAAAAAAAAAAAAGAGTAAAGTGTAGCATTGGAAATATTATGAAACTTGACATTTATGTGTGGAACAGTAGGAGTCTTCAATCAAATAGATCTATGGCAACACAGTCTGCAAATGACAGACAATTCTGACGATCTTATTAGTCTTGAACTATAGTTTGGTAACTTAAAAGGATAGTCTGCTTCCTTACAGCTGGACACAGATTGTGGTAAACAACTTTTGACATACTTATGCTAAAAACTATTCATGTGATTGCATATTAAGTCAATGTTCGTGCAAGACCGGATTTGGATTTCGATTTCCTTTTTCTTTCTTTTTCTTTCTTTCTTTCTTAATCAGCACATGTGCTGTAAACAAACAATGGTCACACATTCTCGTGTGCTCAAGGCTGCTCTGGGTTTTAGCTTTGAAACTCTATCCTCACTACGAGTATCCCTAACTCCAGGTTACTTTTCATGCCCATAAAATTTTCACATGTTTTTGTTATGTCTCCATTTGAGAAGGGCGGGAGGGAAGGTGGTATTATATGGAGGAGATACTGGTTTGGCTACATATTTTAATACACGTGTTTCTTAGGACAGGGTTTTAAATATCTGTCCGGAAAAATGAAAATATTATTTTGTCCTTGCTCTTGTATGTAAAGTAATGCTACTTGCCTGCAGTGGTTTTTTGAAATTGTACTTACAGGGAACTGTTGCAAATGTAGTTAAAAGCACATGCTCAGTCGGTAGAGAGCAGCTTTTAGATGATTATCGGAACCTATCGATTTCATCAAAGATGCGCCATTAAAAGCTCGGGGATGTTGTTCCCTTTTGACTTCCCCTCAGCAGTGCCAGGACGTGAGAAGCCACGTGAGAAGCAGGGGGATTTGAAGGTCCCTTTGCAACATTTCATTTTACACCAGTCAAGTTAAACTCCGCATATTTGATCAAATATTTATTTTTCCCCTTGTTGTTTCCCTGCCCCATTCAATACTCGGCTGAATAAATCAAAGGGACCCCAACAGCAGTTAAAGCGCCCTCTGGTTACGAATTGTTTACTGACGGCCGCGGTCATAGGATAATATTTTAAAAAAACAAGCTCGTTTCTTACAATAACTGTTTATTATTTCACATTATTTGGGTTTGCATGTTTTGGAGGGAAGAGGCGAAGCCAAGTCAGTGTCTACACTGTGTTTAATTAATCGTGTACTGAACTTCAGCTCACATACCACATCCAAACCCCTGGGAGGCTCTTTCATAAGCTCTTTGGGTTTGTGTTTTGCTGTCTCCCTTTTTTTTTTTTTTTTTGGGGTCACAATCTTTTCATTAAATGCTCTGAAATCGAAACTTCAGGCCAACGTGTGTGTCTGAGAGCCAAACTATACCACAGCAACAACAACAAAAAGATATTTGTGTATGCATCCAGATATTATTTAGAGGAAAGACAGTTACAGAAAGGAGAAGGGCTACAATTTCAAATGCTTGATAGAGCTGTGTGGCCCATCTCTCGCAATAGAAGGGGTACACTTAAAAGTCGGACTTGGGTATGTAATATTTTTCCCCACACATATATAACCCGATACCGTTGTTGCTTCTGCATGGTGTTTGGGGCTCTCCGGACAATAGAAAGCCCTGTTGTTCTCGCTAGTGCCGGAAAATGGCGAGGAAATAAAGCCCTAATGAATTTGTTTGGGTGTATTTTGTCCTGCCGCACACTAGAATTTGAAACTCGTCAGAATTGCTTGCAAAAATATGTTTCTAATCCAAATGAGTAAAATGATACACTTATAATACAAAACATAGTTAGGAGAACAAGCCTTCGGATGGCTGGAATAAAATTAAATCACAGTCTAATTTTTAACAAGATAATCCACCAACACAACCCAACCTCCACAGCACTACCACCAACGTAAAAGAATTTCTAGCAAAGATAAAATTAGTGGATCCATCACTTGTCACCTAACTTGGCACAGACGCAGTTCCTAAACCTCCTGTCTGAAATCCGCCTTCTTTGGAGCAAATCCAGAAAAAAAAAAAAAAAAAGAAAAAGAAAAGAAAAAGAAAGAGGAATCTGGCACACACGCACGTTCCAGACAATTGACAGTTCCAATATTAAATAACTATAGTCTGATCGCATTAATTTTTGGAGCTGTATAAAATGTAGTCCACGGCTGTATTCTCAGATAGGCGGCGCATGCACTCCTGCACAGACTGCAAGGCCGTTTACGTTTTCACAAATTGCAGCTTGCCCGTGTCTACAAATAAAAGCATATTTTAATTAGCTCGCAAAATGCGTCTCTGGATTAACAGCGTTGATCTTTTGGGTTATACGGGCCAATAATAAGAAGATAAATCACGGTTTAACACGATACATTTTGAGATTTCCAGTCAGAGTTTGCTTAGGCTGAGCTGTCGGTTTTTATTTATTCCCTTCTTGTTTTTTAATTTTAGTTCAACCAATAAAATGGCTTAACGACCCTATTAATGCATCTATTATATTTTTCTTGGATCAATAAAATTTTATTTTGATAGTATTGTCTATGTACGCCGTGAATTTAGATTCTTCATGAAAGCACCTTCTCAGCGGCTTTGATATTTATCAGAATTTTATTTGCCTTCTTTTATAGACCCTCGGATAGCTTTACTTACAGAAGTAGAATTAAAAAGAAAGTAATTCTCGTCCCCTGGCGTCCACAATATTCTTTAAAATTTCTTTTAAATAGGGGTTAAGTTCCAAGGGACACATTGTTAAGTGCTGGTAATGCAGTAGCTGCACCCAAAGCATGCCAAATTAGCTCAGTTTAGTCAGAATTGACCATTATCTTTTATAGTTACGAATCAAGTGAACATTATTAGTTTTACTTCACTGGGTTTGATGATGCTGGTTACTATTTGCCTTGGCCTTGTTAGCGATTAAAGAAAGCGGAGATAATGCAACGCCGAGCTGAGTTCATGATCTAGATGCAGCCGGTGCCTTGACCATCAAACCGCCACTGTTCACTGCGGTCAACACAACACCCCTCGGCAGCTCCCACAGGACCTGACACGGCAGGGGGTAGCCCACTGCTGCAAAACCTAGGAGAGGAGGCTAAAGATAACCTTCAAAATTCTCACCGACTTCTGTGCCTTTTGTCTGATTCCCCTGCATTAGCTCGCAGAGAGAGAGAAGAAGCCAATTCGTGTTTCTTCTTTGCATTTCCAGTCATTTTTTTCCGGCTGACGACAGTGTAGTTTTTATAGTACTTTCCTCCTCTTTAATCCAATTTTTAGAAGGGAGCTGCTTATTTAAAAACAGTTCTGGAACGATTTCAAGCGTTTCTCCTCGGTTCCGTATGGTTTTTAGGTTTGCAATCCATTTCTATTTAATTTGGCAAATGCAAAATAAACATACCGCAAGAGCGGACTTCCCCGGAGTAATTTTTATACCTGACTTATG